TAACTTCAGCAGTAAAAAGTTGTATATATTTTATAATATCCTAAACCTACCATTACCCTAACTTCAGCAGTAAAAAGTTGTATATATTTTATAATATCCTAAACCTACCATTACCCTAACTTCAGTAGTAAAAAGATGTATATATTTTATAATATCCTAAACCTACCATTACCCTAACTTCAGTAGTAAAAAGATGAATATATTTTATAATATCCTAAACCTACCATTACCCTAACTTCAGTAGTATAAAGATGTATATATTTTATAATATCCTAAACCTACCATTACCCTAACTTCAGTAGTAAAAAGTTGTATATATTTTATAATATCCTAAACCTACCATTACCCTAACTTCAGCAGAGTACTAGAGCTTTCAATTAGGTCGTATAGGGGATTCCCCATTCCATTTCATTTCATGGGGAATCAGCAACCTAATAGAAAGCTCCGATAAAGACCTAAACATCCTACATTTCATAAATTCTTACACCTATATTCCCTATATTTCATAAATTCTTACAACCCTTACACCAAAAAACACCTTCAATCAATTTCCTACATTCCATATTAAAATTTTCTACTCAAATTTTAAACCTTAAAAATGACAAATAAAATACTAGATCCAATCTTTAGATTATACGATCCAATTCGTTATTCATTTAACAAGAAAAAAGAGGATTATATTATCATCTCACCCACTGTTGGTTCTAAATCCCAATTGAATGATGGTGGTAGAATTACCTTCGAAATAAATTCATTATCGAATTGGTTGCTTCTTTCCGATGCTTATTTCAGATGCGATTTCAAAATTAAAGAAGCCACACAGAATCAAGTTCCACAAACAAATACAACGTTAGAAAACAATTTCTTTCCATCTTTATTTAGCGAGATGGTTTTGGAAGCTGGTTCAAATCCGATAGAAACAATCAAACATCCTGGGGAATTCGACACAATGTTGAAAACAGGTTTATATCCTAAAGATTTCGATTCAGTCTCAGGTTGGATACCTGATGTTGGTGATGGAAGTATTTTAAAAGAACCGGTAAGAAATCTTGCAAATGATGCCGATTTAGCTAGAGTGAGAGTTGTTGATCGAAACACGATAGAAAGAGTAGGACGAGCAGTTAATCATGGATTCGAAAAACGAGTACTTCAGTATAATAATGTTGTTGAGAATAATAGGTGGGGTAATTACGTAAATTGGAAATTATATCCTTTATTCGGTCTGTTGGAACATAGAAAAGTTTCCATAGGCTTACAATATAAAATTCATCTACAAAGAGAAATCAACGACGATAAGATATTCTTTGGAGAGAATGCAAACGA